GGTAGATAGTCTAACTTCTCCTTTATCGATCCACATAAGACCGAGATCGATAACTGTTTGCTTTCAAAAAATATAAAGACTTTTTTGAAGGCTCCTCACGAAATTTTTTGAAAATCGTAGCAGCTACCACATAGTGCCTTCTATAAGTTTTCATTGGTCTTCGACTTCGCGACATGATATATTAATCTTTGGAATGATTTTGCTACTAAGGAATGTTATCAAAAGTCATACGTTGAACTTATTTTGATGATAATGAATTAATGTCTTCAGAAAGTTCTCTCCAACATTTATTTTATTGCTGCTCTCATTGGATTAGCCCCTGAATCAAAATCGGTCAACCCAAAAGAATTCTAAGATATTTACATGAATTTACCATAAAAGTCATCAGTCATCAGCATCATCTGTACTATAAGTGCTATAATCATCATCGTCATGATCATTTAGCTTCTCTTCCAACTCTTCAATATAAATATTAGCTTTCTTAAACATTGTGTCATATTGCTCGACGTGACTTATGTAACTGCTTGCTTCCGTTGCACTTAAGCCGTAAATCCTTCTTATGGCAGTTTGCTCACTTCAGTTAAAGTAAATTTGGTGTTTCTATCCCCTATATATGTTTTCATATTGATTCTGGCTACCGCTAAATAATTCAAGGTACAGGATCTTTCTAAAGAGATATGGGTGGAACGGTAGCTGAAGAAAAAAAACAACACCTATGCTCACGTTCATACCCACACTACTCCTACACTCCACACACTAACATCCAATGAATGCTCTTCGATCACACTTTTCGTAGAAAAGAAAACTCCAAAGATTAATAAATTATGTCACGAAGTCGAAGACCAATGAAAACTTATAGAAGGTACTATGTGGTAGCTGCTACGATTTTCAAAAAATTTCGTGAGGAGCCTTCAAAAAAGTCTTTATATTTTTTGAAAGCAAACAGTTATCGATCTCGGTCTTATGTGGATCGATAAAGGAGAAGTTAGACTATCTACCCATTATATTACAATTGAGAAAGTATGTTGTTTCCAAAGCGAATTAAGCTCATCTTCAAAATTTATCATGTATTCACGAAGAAAAGCGACTGGAATTTTTCATCGACTTTGTAAAGAGATAGAGCAGTATCGACTTTAGATACTACAAAAAAATGAGCTTACTTCTTTCTTTCTATTTTAAAGTTATTCAAAAAAACCCATGGCCATTTAACTCTGGAATGGACAATAGTATATATAAGTTTTTGTATATGACACTATTTTTTAAACTCTGACTTATTATAACTTATACTAATACTCGGAATATATAAAAATATAGACACATATATATATCAGTAATACCAAAATTGCAAGTGGTTATTATTCAGAACCCTATATATATATATATAAATAAAACGCATATACAAAAAATATATATATAACGGGTGCAGGTATAGGTTGTAGGAATAAATTACACCAATATTCACACATACGTGTAACTTATATGTGAACTATTGTAAGAGAGTAAGGAAGAAAATTTTACGTCATATTAGTATATGAAGAGGAGGAATATAAGTAATTACTCTCTATTATGCACTATAAATTGTATTGCTTAGGTACGAACGAGCACAGTTGATAAGAAAAGAATTACAGTAACGATGAATTTACCATGCGTAATATTGTATGCAAGCATTATCATGTTCGCACCCGCATATTGTTGTATTGTAAAAGCAAATCCTAGTTTAAATGTACGTAATGTAGCATCGGCTACTGCTCGCATCGTCGGTAGTCTTTATCAAGGTACAACAGTGTCATGTTTACAAAAACAGAATAATTTTTGTCGTGTGGGTACCAATAAATGGGCATTAGCGAAGTATATCAATTGTGCTACAGGCAAATCGAATGGATTTGATAATAAACCACCTGCCTCCGATTATACACGAAAGACCTGGCGTGGTGTTACACTCAATCAACGCACAATTGAAATGATAAAACGTGCTGAGGTTTACATGGCAGAAATGGGTAAACCAGGCTTTCAGTTTTCCTTTAGTCAAGGTTCGTACTCATCGAGAGTACCCGGTAGTGCTAAGACACATGATGGTGGTGGAGCAGTCGATATTCGAACATCCGTTGTCAACAATAATAAGCAAATGGTCGATACAATGGTAGTAGCAATGCGCAAAGCGGGTTTTGCTGCTTGGTCACGTGGTCGTGTAGCAGATACTTTCGAGAATAACAAACATATTCATGCTATTGCTATTGGAGATGTTCGAGCATCAGCAGCTGCAAAGAATCAAGTGGCAAGCTTTAAACGAGGTCGCAATGGACTTAAGGGTGATGGACCTGATCCGGATGCTTATTTAGGTCGAGCAACACCAACATGGGCTAAAAGATTACTTGGCTGATGTTTTTGTTTTTGTTTTTGCACGTGATAATAAATATCAGTATCAAAAATACATTTGTAAAAGCATTGATTCATCGAACATATTCGAGTTTCTTATGCGTCTATGACGGATGTTATAATATCTGAAACTCGGGTGTCGAGATTCTAAAATAACAATATAATTCATGACTAAGGAGAACTTTCAGTGAATTTGGGGTTACCAGGTGTATGCTAAAAGTGGATGCTCTGTTTTTAGAAAATGAGATTTTTAAGTGCATTTAGTGTAATGAAATAGATGGAATTTCCACTCGGGTATAAGAAAATCATTACAAATTTGAAATAGCTTGGCACTGTTGCAAACATGTCGAGTTCATAGAAGATAATTGCATGATTGACGTTAATATGTTTATAGATATTTTGTTCTTATATTCTTTTTCAGAGTTTTACTATGGTAGCGTTTCCATTTTAGTCATTTATTCAAGGATTATCTCGGTTTCTATGGCTTGAATATGGTTATTTCACCTAAAATGAATGTGCTCGGTTACATGGAAGACATTCTTAAACAATAATGAGTCATATTGTGAAATATGAGATTGGTAATGAGTATTGATGTGCTCTATCTGTCTAAGCAAGTGAAGAATAAAGTGATGAATTTAGAAGCAGCAGCTTCAACTGAATTATAATATTATAGTGATCATTTTTCAAGGTTTGTTAAATAGTTTTTTTCTTTTTATACAAAATCTTTCAAAAGTCTGATAGAAATAAATTTTTACCAATATTGATATCAACTTAAAAACTATTCATCTAATGTTTTCAATGAAAGAAAAAGAAAGTGTTCTGATTTAGAAAAAAAATTACCATAACAAAACCATTTCGTTCTATATTTTGTAACTATAGACATAATAACTAGGTTAATACTTTTCTAATATGTATGCCAAAGTATATTATTAATTTTTTGATTTTAATACAAACTTATTAAAATAATGCAATGATATTGTTAAGCGAAAAATCCCTATTCAGTATATTTTAAATAAAATGACCATATATTAATAAACATTAAAATAGAAATAGCTCTATTCGTATGACAAATAAAATTACAGAAGTATGATATTGAAAAGTTCTCAAAATGCTATTATCAAGGTGTGGGATGGGTGTGAGTGTCGGTTTGGATGCAGGTGTAGACGAAGAGAAGGCCCGCACTCACACCTAATCGCAAAATGAGGACAGTCACAAGATAATTAAATTATTTTCTTAACAGATAAATCAAATAGAAAATTAAAATATCAATTCTTCTTTGTCTAATAATGGGACAAGCATATAACACATCAAACATATTTGTTCAGTATATTTTTGTTGCTCACATTCATGCAATTGCTCTTTCTTTCTCTCTTTTCCACTAACGACATCATTTTATTGTCGCTGAAATGTTCGTATGTATAAGTGTTTATCCTTGTCCTTTCCGTCTATATATAAAACAAAACTGGTCATGTCCGTTTTTTTGTCACTCTTCGTCGTTTAATGAACATGTTCAACATATATAAAGTGATATAAAATTCTTTTTATCTACCAATGGAACCTTCTGTATTGTTAATCGAGTTGATCGACTATGTTCGGGTCAAATGAAAGCTCTCACCGCCAAACCAACAAATTTAAAATATTACGTCCCCATAGCGTACCTAGAGCAAGTTACTTAAATTTCAAGGTATGAGAAATTTAGGTATAAAAATGAATCAGTAAAGGCTTTCTCCACTATTGTAAGGACAAAACATAGCGTTGATCGGGCAATATGAAAGTGAGTCCCTTCAAGCTCCTGATCGGCCCGAACAACAGCATGTTTTGTCCTTACAATAGTGGAGAAAGCCTTTCTCGATTCATTTTTATACCTAAATTTCTCATACCTTGAAATTTAAGTAACTTGCTCTAGGTACACTATGGGGACGTAATATTTTAAATTTGTTGGTTTGGCGGTGAGAGCTTTCATTTGACCCGAACATGGCCGATCAACTCAATTAACAATACAGATGGTTCCATTGTCAGCTCTAATGCAAATCTATGTGAAAATACATTGCTAAAGTCAAATAGTTGATTTTATTTGGTTTTTGTATCGTATCGATTTTTGTTGTGTATATGCATTAAAACATTATTTTTTTATTCTAGGTTTTAATCGAATGATTTTCATAGATTAGATTTCAAAAATTAGACGTAATTTTATTTCTCTTCTAAAATCAAAATTGAATCATTTTATTAAAATTAAATTTTTCTTTGAATTATTAATATACAAATAAAACTAGAATAATTTATATTCTTAAAGACTGAATAGATGAATATTACCAATAGTCATTTGTATAAAGTACTTCGGTTTATTGATGAACAACTATTGCTGAAGACAATCAATCACTGAATAGTTGCCATCGAAAGGAAAAACTATACATGTATATATATATATATATCTTAAACAGATAAAGAACAAACGATTGTTTTTTTTTTTTATAATATATGATTATGTTACATAAAGAACAGATAAAGAAAAGTTAGTGAAATCCTAATTAATTGATAACACTAGGTAATTTTTCATGACTAACAAATGAATTAAGAAATTTTTCTTCTTCACCACGTAATAATAAAATTTCATCTTCAAATTTTGCTCCATGACGTTCACGTATTAAAGCTGTACGACGAAAACCTTTTAAACTATTACAATGCGTACAATTTTCAACTGGATATTGTGACCAAGTAAAAATACGTTTATGACATTCGATACATTCAAAAAATTTTTGTTTTACTTCACATATTTTAACATAATGTTGTTTTTGTTTACATAATATGGATTGTTTATATGATGTATAATGACATTGTCGACAAACAACAACTTTTATATCGCGTTCCATTATTTGAAGAAGTTTTTCTTCAATATTTTCTTTTTTTTTATAACGTTCAAATATTTCATCAAGTGTCATTTGACTATATAAATCAGAATGAGATGATTTCATATTCATTATATCAATAAAACGTTTTTGATCAACTGAATCAGAATTACTATT